TTGGCTCATGAAGCCTACAGAAAATGTAAAGCCAGAGGAAGATGTCACCAAAAAAAAAAATCTGTGTCAGGCTGGGAAACTTGGTGGTGGGGACAAAACTGTGGTGTATCAAGAGCATTCAGGAATACAGAAGTGTCAGGAAAACCTGCAAATGATAAACTAACTTCCCTCCAACTAGGTATCCAGTGCAATGGCCAGCAAAACATTGCAGGTATGTACCTAAAAAACAATGCACTATAAATAACATGTGCTGGTTTTTTTTTTAAATGGGGCTTGAAAAATTATTCTTCAGTACTCTACCCTCTTTCGTGACCCTGCTGAGTTGGTTGTTTGTGCTGGTTATGGTGGCATCTGTTGCTGGGAAATGAATTGCTTCCATCCATCACTGGTTTCAAACAACTCTATTTTTGCCATATGCAGTGAAAAGAAGCAATGAAAGAGGGTTCTAGTCCTTAAGCAGCAGTATGGGAAGGCAAAGTGTCGGTTATAAGATACTCAAAGTTCTAAAAAATGGTCTAATTTTTGAGTTTATATCTAATATTCTATCAATAAATTATGATTACTTAAAAAAAACCCAACCCTTTGATCTCACTGAGAGTTTCCTAGACAGAAACTCTCCAATACTGGTTTGGAGTCACTAAAACATCATGAGAACAAGTCCAAATTTTAAAAGGTGTTACCCAATAAACCAATAACTAAATATTTTCTCTGTTCCATTCATTTGTGGCAATATTGCTTGGGAAAGCAGAGGTGGAAGATAACAAACTTCATCTAAGCAGTTCTTTTTCTGGGAATTGAAAAATTTTCAATCTTTACAGTGCAAGCAACTGCAAAATTAACAGTAGCAGGAGTTCTAGGGCTCTTGGAATGTGAAATTTCCTAAGAATGGTGTCTTTCACTGTGTATGGTCCTTTGGCTGAATACAGGTTTGGCAATACTCCTATGATCATAACGATCACTCCGTTTGAGGGATTACAAGATGCTAGGTTCCTCCAGCTTCTCAGGGCTTTAAATTACTAGAGAATTCAGAACTTCTGAAATTGATGCTGAGGACCTGATACTGCAATCGTGCCTCAGTGGAGGAGTTACAAAGGGAAAAAAAGACTCACTGCAGGGAGTGCTGTCATGCTGCAGCACAGATATTCTAGCAAAAGATCAGATGTGGCATCAACAGCCTTGCTCTGAGGCTTTGCTATGGAAAGCTCTAGATTTTGTTCCTGTTTAAGAGTTAAAATGTGTGGTGTAGAGTGCAATTATAAGGACGTCGCGTTTCTCAGAAAAGCTCTCACACAGCTTTGATCAATATGAATCCAAACTTGCACTGCATTGTTTACTGTCATATCCTGCCATGCCTTCATAGGACCCAGTCTTAATTCTCAGTCTCTAGGCTGTATTCACCTCACCTGGGTAGTTCCCTTAGCTCTTGGTGACACTCTTGCCCTGAATGTGAGCGTGCTGCGAGCTGGCTGTAGTGTTTTGATAGCAGCAGGAGCCTGTCCCCGGCTCCCTGTCACATGGCAGGTGCACATCAACTTGTGATGGAGAAGAGGCAGAGAAGCCCACGGGAAAGATGGTAGCCAAGACCGAGTTGACAGAAGAATTCCTTCATCCCACACGTACTCCCTGCCCAGGAAGAGATGCAGCCCGGCTGCATTAATTGCGCTGCTGGCAGGAAGCAGCCAGAGGCTTTGGCGACGGAGGCGATAAGAGGGACTGCAGAGGATGACCCTGCCCTGAGACTGGAAGCAGCAGTGTGGGCCTTCTCCCCGAAAGCTTGATGCTCTTCCTTTCTGTTATGGATTTCACTGCAGACAAAAACTATAGAAGAAATAAAAAACTTGCTTTCTTTGCTAGCATCTGATTTGCTTTTTTCTCTGTTCCTAATAGTCAGCTCCACGGTAGCTAACAGCTAAACCAACCCATTTCTGGAAAAAGGGGAAAGGAGAAAATTACAGGGCAGATGCAGAAGATTGTACGAAAGGAAAACACCAGATTTTTCTCTCTCAAGTAATGCATGTATATTTAGATGCACTTACAGTGAACATGTAATATACCAAACCACCACCCTCAAGTCAAGTCAAAAATAATAGAGTATTAAAGACTTTCTTCTGCAATGTTTGCTGTTTTGGGGTCAGTGGCTACCCCTGAACTTTCTTTGCAGGCTTTCCTTACTGTTTCCTCACTATAAAACTATTACCATTAATAACGATCCCAGTGATTTCAACTGGAAGATAATTTAGACTGAACATTTCTTTGGTTTAACAACTGAATATACATAAATGCAATCACTTGGTTTTATTTACTCTTTATGTCTAGCTGAATAGACTTGTGCATCAAGGGAAGTGATGAGCCTGATTCTTCACCTTTCTGTATAACCTGTTCACATCATTTCACTGCTGCAAAGTACTCACAGATTTCATTGCAAGGCTGACTGGAAACAAACCACGTCACGTAACGTACGAGTTTCCCTCAGAAGGGCTGGGAGCAGTGGGGCGACTCCCGCGGCGTGTTGGTGTCCCCGGCAGCGGGGCCACAGGAGGAGCCCCGCGGTCGGGTCACCGCCTGCCTCCACACTGACAGAGAGGGAGAGGCAGAATCGCACCTCCTCTGCCTCCTTGCCTAAGGACTCGCACCAAATACGGCTCAGCTGAATTCCGGAGCTAGCCTCAATATGTAACTCCAGAGCTCACAAAAACACTCGTACTAAGAATAATTTTCCCATCATATGGGCGGTTTTCGCAGAGTGTTAATAGATCCTACTTCGTGGCCCTACATAACCAGCTCTTTTCCAGACAAAGTTAGAAGTGCCATTCTCACTCTCTTTAGCAGAAAGGGCATAAAGTAGTGCACTGTCAGGGCTAGTCACCACACACAGGGATACCTGGTATTACAAAAATCAAGCTGGTTACAGAAGAACGCACCAACCCAGAAACTCTGTACGGAAACAGCAAAAGAGCTTTTCACACAGAATCTGAAGACAACTTTGCAAGGTTAATACAGAGCCCTTCAGGCTAGCAGGCATCTTCTTTTCATTATTCTCTGCCCGGGAAGCATTTATCATGATGAATTCATTGAAAATTTTGAAATACAGTAAAATGAGGAGAGCAGACTTGCAGGAAAACCTCCTCCTTTGCTACAATCTGTTCAGGAGAGAAAGGAAAGGATATTTGTATGTGCGTGTAGGAGAAAGAGAGGTTTGAGGCGGGGGAGTATACCCAGAGGAAATACAAATACCATTTCACAGTGGAAGTGTGAGTGCGAGAACACAGGATCTGTATTTTACCTAATATTTGTGCAGGTTCCATCAGTGTATAAAGGAAAATGAATCCTGCTAATTTACAACAACTACAATGACTTGCAAAAATAAACAAGCTGCTATTGGAACTTCAGGGAAAATTATTTGAAAATTGATTGCCTTTTTGACATTTAAAACAAAAGGATAGAAGTTCTTTTACATTATCCTAACTGAAGAAAGCACTTTTTCTTACTTTTAGAATTATAACAGTGTTGTTCTGTTCTGATATTTTTATTTAGCTTTTAATGCCTCATGATTCTAAAATTTTGGAAAATACATGGTAATCTCAGCAGAAGTAGAAATCATTAAGCGTGCAAACAACATCTGAGTGGGGGGGCTCAGTTCGCAGCAGGTGCTGTGCCTAGTGCAGTGCCCAGTGCTCTGCCAGACCACAGGTTCCATAGGATATGAAATCAGAGAGCTGCAATTCTGATGCGTGCCCCAGGACTGATGTGATGAAACACAACAGATCTGTTTATGATCGGCATTCTGCAAATGCAATTACTTCAACATTGTCTTAGCCATGCCACGAATTAGAAATGTTCCCAACTTGACTCTACAACCTTGCTTACAGTGACTATCATTTATCCCCAAGACATTCCTTCATTCCAGTTTGCTTAACTACAGAATGAGGTCCATGCCATCTCTGAGTAAGACAGAACTTCAAGATAGATGTTGAAAGAAGTATAGCAGATGTTTAATGGAGAAAGAGGCAGATTTCTGCAGTAAAATGCATGCCATCAAAAGTCAATAAAACTTTGAAAAGGCAAACTGTATTTAACCGAGAGGATACGAATATCCAGGATTTAAATACTGATCTGCAATTTGTGACTTTAACCCAAGAGACCAGCAATAGTGCCATTAGCAATGCCATTTAATCTAAAGAAAATGGCACTTCAGGAAAAGATTTCATGTCTGTATTTTTGTGCTATACACCTTTCAGGGCAGATCTGACAACAAGCTACATGTTGGGACTGCATCATACAACATAAGATCCCACATTGCTAATCCAGCAGAGGGGTTTTACTCCTCAGCAGCCCCACCTGTTCTGGTAAATCTCACCTGCCTCTGGAATGGTTTCCTTGCATTAATCCAGCTTTGGAATTGAAATGAAAGCAGGAGGGGGGGTGGAAATCAATGAGAGGCTTAGTCAATGTGACCAACCTAATGCATTAGATTGTTTCGCTCAATTACATTTCTTTTTCCATAGCTTAATTTAGATAACCGTCAGGTAAAGAGGAAAAAATAGCTATATACAGCTAATGCGACAGAAGGTATCAACTGATTTAAGCAGCTGGCCAAAGCAGTTAGCAATGCATCTATCCCTTCGTTAAATTATTCTCCTAGATCTGCATAATACATGCATGACTGATATTTTTATCTAGAGCATTAAACCTAATGGCTGGTTAGTTGAAATACAAAACTGTTCTGAACAAATTCATGAAGTTCAGAGAGCTGGTGTAGGTCCCAGAAATACCCATCTGTCAATACCTTTTAGTGGTCCCTGCAGCCTCGTACTGAAAAATCTAAAGACTCTGCATTTATAAAGGGCTGGGTACATATTGGCAGCCGCTGGGGTTTAACTATGTATTGATATAATATTCTGAAAATCAGGAGAAAATTGTTTTCAGAATCTTAGATGTAATAGCTCAGCCACCTACAGCAAACAGCTAACTATACTTTTTTGTGTTTTCTTTCTCTACAGGTATACCCAGTATTTCCAGTATTGGTAGTAAGTAATAAAACCAGTGTTGTTTTGCATTGTCATTCAACTTCTTGGATCTAATTTCCCACCATCCCTTTCTGTTGTAGATACTGTTTCTCTGAAAATGTGCTCTATAGTGCAGGGGCTATGTATTGGCCTTCCTCTGTTGCATTAACATGTAACCGTATTACACGGTCAGAGAGAATGTCACCCCTGACAACACATCTGCCTTCAACCACAGATTTTCTGATTAGTTCTGATCAGCAGATGAAAAGTGAGTGCCGTGAAACTGTGTGTTATACGGAGAATTAAGACACTGTTCCACAGAAAATATTTGTTGAGAATCTTTTCCCCAAAAAAAGTGTTTGCTAATAACAGAGAAGTATAGGACCATAATTTTCATGCGTGTATGTGTGTGTGTGAATTCGAAGAGCAAATGGAAGAGTTTATAAATGGAAGAGTTTTAATTTTTAGGGAGAAGCTTAGCAAGAATCTTCGCATTAACTCCAGCGGCCTTTGAACTGGGCTTTACTCCACAAAATAAACAGAGTTGTGTTCCTTCACAAAAATCTGCTTTCCTGTATGCAATTAAAGCACCAAAATACTACACTTAAGCTATAACAAAACCATAACATCATTATGTAAAGAACTACTATATCAATGAAATAGATGATTAATTAAATAAAACACTCGAAGGGACTAAGTGCACAGTAGCTCAGCTGTGAGTCTCCACTGAGTTCCATAGCTGAGAAGTACACACAGTCATGGCACGTTAGCTAATTACAAATAAAGCAGGGAGGCAGAGATGGGACCCTGCTGTGACTGACTGAAAGAATATTCCCCACAGCCTCAGCTTTGCAGAGGCTTTAGACACAACTTGTGTGATGCAGGACTATCACAATGATAAAATATCATGGTAGTAAAATGCAGTTTGCCATACCTGATATCCAACTGAAAAGCTTCTAATAATTTAGGTAAAACTGTCTCGCTTCTTATGATGCAGGATCAGGTCTGTCAATTTATAAATCAGCTCAGTTTACTTAAGCTCATGAATGGTGCTGATTTGTTAAGCTCTAGACTGCAAGTTAAATGCCATCAAAACTAGCCTCCTTGCAAACAAGAGCAGCATTAACAGCTGAATGCCATGGCATCTGTTTTGCAGCTCTGAAGAGTGAAACAGCATCAATGACAATAACATGCAAATGAAAGCCTTCAATCTTAATAATGTAATTTTCCCGCTGTAGTGTCTCCTTTGGCATCTGCATGACTGCAAATGCATAGTGATATGCTGTTTTCAAAACCCTGTGTTTATGCGTATATTCGATAACCAAAAAAATTAACTCAATGAAAGAGAAGAAGTTTATGTCACTGTTCTGAGGAATATTCCTGCCATTAATAGCAGAAACGGGATGAATGGGAAAATAGCTCTTTGGAGTTTGGTTGTGCTATAGTCTCTTAGTACTGTGTTGCATGGACTATATGGTTGTGTTTTCACTTCACACTCCATACAGCCTCCGTCACCACATCTACCATTTCTGAGCATCAGCAGATGTTGGCCTTTGAAAACTTAATAGGGAAACTCAAATACCTTTTAAACAATGGTGACCTGAAAGGATGCATTGTTGACCTCTTTGGTGACCTACTAATCACACTGGGGTGATTAGTACAGTTTATCTATTACAAATGGAGAAAATTCTGTTTCACATTCCGTAGGAAATACAAGAGTTTCTGCCAGTCTATGCTTTATCTTTAATCTGCTGTAAATGTCTTGGAATAATACGTGGTAGAATTCAACAAGTTTCTTTACCTACCTGGAAAGGATGAAGCATGAGCATCTCTTCATGAGCACAAGTAAATACTGATACTCTGCTTGTTTTTTTCATGTGTTTTTTCTTAAATAGCTCAGGGGGAAAATAGCTCTACTTGCACAATGTTCTGAACATCTTTCCTATAAGATAGAAATAGCAGAATTATCGTTAAACAAGGATAGAACCCATAAATTTATCCTGGTCTCTAAAAGAATGTAACAGAAGTACAATTAACACATAACAATCAAACAGGATTAATTAGTTGTGGCTGCTTTAATGGATTCTGCATGATTTCTTCTATTGTCTATGTTAATACAATGTCTGTGTTCATATCAGCAGAGTTTTTCCCCATCTGGGGACAGGAAGTTACTCTCAGGAGATACAGTTTGGGTTTTATTTTGCCTGGCAGCAAACATTAACGGGGCCGGGGAGGTGGGGGGTATTGGCTGTTGTGTGCTTCAAGCTTTTCCTAGTATATAAGGAGGATGGGGTTGGGGCCAGGGTTATGAAGCCTAAACTCCCAGCACACAAAGATGTCACTGCAAGCAACGTTCATTTAACACTTTTAAGACTGCAATGCAAGCAAGCAAAGAAAAATAAAATATATATACCTGTACGCGCATATATGTATCATTTTCTGTTCCTTTTTCACCTCAAAGGATCTTGTATTAAAGCAGCTCATCATTAAAGTTTGAACACAAAGAAAGAGTGGTCATTAAGTAAACATCCTTTCTGATCATCTAGAAGAAAAAAAGAGAAAAAAAAATCAGAGCTTTCCCGTTAAGGTCATTTGTACCTGCTGTTGTCTATCAGTTGAATAATAGGTTCTCTGATCATTTCCAGCATTCTTGATTCCAGTGCTGGCCCTTTCAGCTTTTTTCAGCCATGTCTGAAAAAATACTGGTGAAAGTGTTAGCAATTAATGAGTCCCAAAACCATTTCATAATTTTAAGCAGTGCTTACATACAGTATGTAAATATTCTGAAAACTACATTATTTTACTTGTTAAAATAATGATTGCACAATTTTACAGAGCAATGCATTATGTTCATTATTGTGACCAAATACCAAAGTTACTAATCTGTACATGTATGCCTTCAAAAAGTTGAATCTTCAAAACTATAGCTTCAATCTTTTTCCTGAAAGCATAACTCCACTAATTATGCTAAACAGTTTGTTATAAAGGGTATAATTAGATACAGGATAGGATAGACATGATGTGCAAATCGCTCTGTGTGGGTGATTATCACCTTAAAGCCTGCTGGTGGCAGATGAGTCAGAGTTTAGAGACAGACCGTGCACCCAAGTGCAAGATGCAGTCACGATAATCAAATGGTATTTTCTGCTTTGTTCTCTATGGGTTTGTTCTTCTTTATAGCCAATTTCAATTTAAGAGAATTTTATTTTTGTAACGATACTGAATGCAAGACACAAAAGTAAAAAAAAAAAAAAAAAAAAAAAGACTGAATGGGCACTCTTTTATTTTATTGTTTTCTTAACCTTGAAAGATCTAGTAGGTATTTTTCTCAAACTAAAATAGTGTCAGGATGAGTGTAGCTGTATTTGTTATGAAATTTGAATGTGGTAAACATGTATCTTAACAAGTTGTGAGAGCAAATACTAGTGGATTTTTTTTTTTTCTGATTTCTAACAACACAAAGTATTTTGGACCTGATTTTGCCCCCTTGTGGTAACTGAGAAGTTCTCTCATTAAAAGTCATGGGATCAAAGCCATTACAATGCCAAGCTCTGGACTAGAGTATATACACAACACCCACATATGTCAGTAGGATATAAACATGCGTAACTAGGTTGTACATTACTTTTCTATTATTATTTGAGGTCAAGTTTTACAGAGAGAGCTGTACTGTTAAGAGGCCATTAAGATGTTTATCTCCTTAGAACATTTAAATATTGTCTTCAGACTATATATATTATTTTGAACATACTAGCAAACTGTTCTCATTTCAATTCAATTTTATCTAAATCTAACTTTTTAATAAATAATACTGTTAATCAGGCTCCTAGTCTAAGGCAATCACCTTATCTAAGTAACTGATTATAATATCAAGCCAGTAACAGGATTTCTTTTCCCTCCTTTGCTTTAATACTTTTTCACTTTAACAATTAGATTTTCCATTATATTAAAACATTACTGGGCTGAAAGAAAACACTGATAGCCTGTGTGGTATAATGCACTCATTTGAACACTGGATCTGGAAGAAATTTAACATTCCAAATAAAAGACCTTACGAGTAGTTTATTTACCTGGTAGGATTCACAGCAAAGCCAGTTTTCTTCTGTGTACCTAGGATTTCCCCCTTGAAGTTCAGTAAGCAGAGCTCCTGCGCTGACCCCAGCGCCGGGCAGCAACCCTCTCTTTGCGCAGCGATTTCCACGCAGGGTCAGAAGGTTCCAGCACTGCTCCAGGGAGCACTGACAGGTTGTCGGGGTGGGATTTGGGGGAGCCGTTGTTTCAGCTTTTGATCTGCCAGATCCACCAATTTTAACAGATAAGAAGAGCCATTCTCACCAGTCTAGTAGACCTGGCCACCGACAGTTTAGTATTGTTTCTCATTCTTCATCCCAGCTTACATTCATCATTCTGGGTTAGTTAAAAACAGTGTATCAGTCAAAAAGTCCTTTCAATGCTTTTTTTGATTTGCTGTAATATACAGGAAATTACTTAGTTCACAGTTATCTTTGTTTTAACCATTAATAAACAATCAAGTGATAGGACATTATAGAAAATGAGATACTGACATTTCAGTATGTACTATGGTACCCATGCAAAACACATTGCACTATGCAAGTTTATCTGCAGTTACTTAAGGCAGTTTGTAGAGAGCAGACATGATCCATAAAGATATTTAAAAATCTAATTATCTATAAAGCTTGGGGAGAAATTGCTGGGAAAAAATGCACTTCTATATTTTACCCTCTCCTCTTTTTCTTTCTGTCCCTTAGACATGTAATCAGTTTATTTCATAGAGTATAAGGGAAGAATGAGGTTTCCAAATCAGGGTTCTGATTTTTAAAAAAAGATCTTGATTTACTGTTCATCACCAGTTGTGAATTACTGTACAATAATCCTAGTCGACCAGCCAATTTCAGCATCTTTGTAGGAAAAAGCAGAACCAATCAAAATTAAAAGGAACAACCCCTGCAAACTATCAACAGAATAATTTACTTTTTTTCTCATGAGAAAGTACCTAAATA